TGACTAATACATTTTCATTTTTAATACCATCCATCCATCCGTCCATCCATCCATCCATCCATCCATCCATCATCAGGTTTTGAGGGCAGCAACTTGATCAGGGAGGTCCAGACCAGCCGAGAGACATAGTCTTTCTAGTGTCCTGCGTCTTCCCCTTCCTCCCAGTTGGACATGCTTCAAGCACCTCCCTCCCTGGTAAGGAGGCATCCTTACCAGATGAACCAGAGCTCCCCCAGCACACATGATGGGAGTTGGCATCACAGCCTATGAGTACGGGGAGGCCCTTATCTTTGGCATAATTGACTATCGCCATGAACTCCTGTGATGGAAGTGGCTGCTGTGAGTCAAATGGCAGGTACTGTGTACAGAGGCTGCAATAATTTGTCTGGATTCACCAGGTTTCTAACCTGGYGTCCTTCATCCGAGGGACAAAAAGGTTTGATTAAAGCCCAGTATCTTTTGGGGAGAGCAATGGGCCCACTAATAAGGCCTCCGCTCACCTGGGTTGTACCAATCCCCAATTACCATTACCATTACCATTACCAGATGAACCACCTCAAATGGCTTCACTGGATGTGGAGGAGCAGCAGCTCTACTCTGAAGCAGGCAGTGTACTGCATCCAAACTGCCGAAATCGTGCCGAACTGTCACAGTTTAATGACAAAATTTGCGTCATTCTGTTCACATTGTCGAAATTTTCGGCCCTTCTTGTCACGACCCGTGGGCCAAACTTTTTTAYTCCCCTCCACATAATAACACAAGAACCTTATTGTGTGATTGATCAGAAGTTTATGGGAGTGTTTGTGCTGAACGAGCTCAGACGCTGCATTTAGCTTCAACCACTTGCTTAAAAAAAAGGTGACTCGCTTCCAGAGCCGACCAGGAAGCAGCGATTTATAAAGAGAGTCCAACGGCCAAAAACTCATAAAAGGGRATAAAACAGATGTTTTTAATGGTAGAATCTGACTGATAAAAACTTTGGAGCTTAATACAGAACCAGTTTGTGGATAAACGTCAAGTGACGAGTCTCAAACTTTTTTTACCGCATTGTGGACGTCAGCGGGACGAAATCCCATGCAGTGACGTATGGTTGGGGTTTCCCGGAGCTCGGCGCGGGGTGTCTCATCTGGGAACTATGGTGTTTGCAAAAACGAACGCCGAACAACCACGTAAAGGCACTTCGTCCGGCCGGCTGCCGAGCGACTAAACTGACAGCTTGAGTCTCTCCTGAAGAACTGAAATTCCCACACTGTATCTAGACTCCAGCTATCCTGCTGAGAAAACTCATTCTGACTGCCTGTTTCTGCAGTCCTGTTCTTTCGGGCACAACCCAAAGTTTGTGGCTAAAGATGAGGGTAAGATCATAAACTGACTAGTAAACAGAAACCTCTTTCACAAGACAGGTCCACAACATTGCTGCACAGAGCAGTCCGGCTTCAAGCTCCCTCAGGTCATTAATAAATCACAAGAGAAACTGGTCACATGTACAGCGGGTAAAATAAGTATTGAACACGTCACCATTTTTCTCAGTAAATATATTACTAGAGGTGCTAATGACA